GCAATCTTGTTCATAATAGAGATGGTGGGAATCCTTACAATCGTAACCAGCCTCGGTAGTCTGAGTCCATCACTCTCTTGGAAACTCCCGTGCCGGATATCTCTACACCCTGATATCACTGTGTAGCCCATAGACTTCTGAGTGAGAAACTTATTCATCGTATAATGAACATGCAGCAAACCCATAAATGGAAAGATTGCGGCGAGATAACGATTCCCATTGCTGCAATATCCTGGTTTTCTCTGTTTCCACGCCCTCGGGGCTTAGGAGAACGTGGCCGGGTGGTTTACGCCGGCTGGTATTCTTGCATCCCTCGAGAGTAAAGATTTACCGGAGTGGTTCTCCCGGATGCGAGGAACTCCAGAAATCCGTCACCTGAAACCTCCGTTCCTGATGTAAATTGCATCGATTAACTAAGACGGAACCGCATAGACGGTGTTCAAGCTCTGTTTCAATGATACAGTAGTCTCCGTGAACAGCAGGAACAATCCTCAAATTTTCATTCCTGAAATCTTTCCAAATTATGCAACTCAAGAGTGTTTGCTAGTATGATTTGCGTGGAGCCACGCTATCTAGTACAGTAACAAGCGTTTACGATCCAGGCAACCGTTTGCTGGCATCCCCGGTTGTGCGAGATCGGGGAAGTAGGTTCGAGTATTCAGAATGGCGGGAGTCTCGAGTGACCTCGTCGATCAATTTCTGCATGGAACTTTAGAGTATGATGATTGTTTATCGATATCTGCCCCTTCGTCATGTCTACATTCCAAGAACTTCGCCATCAGTGATTAATGATTCAAACCCTTAAGAACGTTGGCACGGACATAAAATGCATATCCAGGTAGTGATACGCGATATTGCCCATCTCCTTGTCTAAATGCGGCTGTCGACGACCACATTCTGTGGTGTCAGCACCGTATCTTTGCTTGGGCTTACTTTTCCTGGTGTATCACGCTTCGACAAAAAAACTCTCGCACTAATATAGTAAAAGCTAAAGACTCAAAACCGCATCCATGGTCTTGTACACCAAGAATTATTTGCCTGGATGACCGCGTTCCAGTTCAGATAAATAGCTTTCATGTTGTTGAATGTTGATCTCTGCCATTCGAATAACTAACGGTTGCCTGTAGATAGTTATTAAAGAGAACATCTTGAATCCAGTAGTCACAGCATAAAGCCTCGACGAAATCCGGGACCAACTGATGGCCTATCATCTATCCGAGGTGTGTCGTGTCAATTAGTTAACTTTAGTCAGGGTCTTCGAAATCTGGATAACCGTCGACAAGCGAGGACAGCAAAGTGTATTGTACTCAACCTGCCTCTTAAATGATACTTGAAAGAAGACGATTATTCATGGACAAAATTTGCCGATATGGTATCATAATATCTTTTGGCATTCAATTTCGTTCCAGAATGACTCCGCCAGTAGTGTGTTGGTAATGCTAATCCATTTGACATGGCTGCTGCTTCTGGAACGCAGTTAAGCGATTTATGACATTCCCTTCCCAATCGTCTCGTTGCCTTCCTCTAGCATGCTTTAGTTATCAGCATTTAGCCACCGACACCCCGTTTAATAGCAGTTATCAAAGGGCCGGCTCTCATTCATTTTGAGTGTTCTGGGTTTTAACATTACTTCTGCCTCTTCCTGTACCGAATCGGCGCTTATTGTAGAATAAGACTCGTGTGCTGGCCAGTATATTTGACGAGGAGTTAAACATCTTGACCATATTGATAAGATTTAGAAGACGTAGTCAAGTTGAGAAGGTCAATAACGAACAAGTAGTGGCCAATAAGCCCACAGAGAAAGTCGTTGGTCAGTTTAACGCGCGTCGTCTCTTCATATAGAAACAGCATATTCTTAGTCAATTCTGAACATATTAAGTCTGACTTGTGACTCTGCAAATGTGGCTCAAAAAAATCTGATTAGTTTCTTTCTTTGATCGCTGGCACTAAGACAGTACTCAGAATTGTGTTTGATGATGTAAAGTAACTTTTGACGACTGGTGTAGAGATTTGCGGGGCACCAGTCGAATGGTTAAAGACATTTGGAGCGTTTGATGTGGTTTAGCTTGCTTATCTATCGTCCGCTGTGCTCAACTCAAGAAGACCAAGAATCACCGTTAGCCAGCTTGATGACTTGACCCACTGCGTTATGCACCTCTCAGCTACTTGATCTTCTTTCTTCACTCTAACTGCGTCAATACTAGTGATAAGTCTCAAGACAAATATATGAGTAGTGACTTACACTATAATGCTTCTTGAATGAAGATATTGATGGTATCTAAACTTCGCTAGCAACTGTTGCAGCGGATCTTAGGTCTGCTAGGCGTCTCGCACGGCATAGTGGCTTGCAGATGCCATCTCAAAACGATCTTGAGACTTCTGTAACTATTTATTAGAACGAAAATGCCAGAAGTACCGGATAGCTTACCACGGATTATCTTAGAACCGGAAGACATCCAGGACAAATATTATTGCTTGGGTCTTGAAAGGGGTTTGTGTAGTAAGGTTGAGCTAAACAGCGATGATATTCGATGCAATTGTAACCCAGCGTTGGTATTTGACCGACAGCAGCGAGAAATTCCCATGCGAGTTGATGCCGAGAAAGGAAAATACAAATAGAAATGAAATATAATACCAACACAATATGAGTTTTGGAACGACAGCGGCACAAGACATGTACGCAGTCATACCATCGTCGAAATTGAGGGATATACAAGATCATGTGATGAAGTAGATTCGTTTGTACAGTAAACGCAAACTGATGGACTAGCAGCAATATTTTTGGGTGTGGTGACAAGTATTCTCTTGATAAACTCATAGAATCGTAATGTCATATCAAACGCTACTAAGCTAAATCTGACCCAGCAGTATGAGAAAGCAAGGCTCAACACCTCGCCTCCTGGATCGTGCATAATTTCAAGCACCTCCAGTTTCCCAAAAAGTGCGCTAATAAGGATACGCTCTGACTTCTTCCTCTTTCTCCAAATCAAGGCCCGCTTCGACTTGCTCCTCATGTTTCTTATCCAGGTACTCCAATAGAACCTCACCATACTTCTCCTTTCCCTTGTACTTACTCACATCTTCGCCCCAGCTCCTCACAGCACTTGCTAATCTTCCCGGTACATACGGCTCTTCGCATATCTCCGTAATTGGATGGAAGTATGTTCTGATAGTAAACACCACACCGCCAGATCTCGGTAGTCTTCTTAATGTTTGCCGCTCGGAACGAAACCAATGATGTTCAACGGCTTTGTTCTTTTCCGCAGAGTCCCAGCTTACACTACCGGGCTCTCCGTTTTCCGGGCCAATGCTTGATGACCATGCAAGTTGATCGTCTACTTGAATGAAATAGTTGTTCTGAAACACCCGTTAGTACATGTAGGTACGCATAATCGCGCAAATTGAGGCTTACACGCTGCACGGGTCCATTAGGCTGAACTCTGCGGAAGAAGTTCATCATTCCTTTCTCCAGTTTCGTTTGGTACCCTGGTACGTCGCCAGACGTATGTATCTCACTCAACGGCATGCCTAATTTATCCTCCAAACGCCAGAATCCCGCTAGTAAAATGGCGCCGGCAAGAAGATAGTATTGACCATCTTCCTTCTCAAACATGATTGCTAAATCATCTTGCGTGAAGCGGGCTGCCATCTGCATTGGATCCTCTGCAAGTGGCCTTTCAACAATGTTGAATGATTCGTTAGTAAGAAGATTGTCCATGCCAACTGGAGTGCGTTTGTAAAGTGTGGGGTAACGTTCTGGGAGATACGCGCAAAGCTCTTGAAGCAGCTCAACAGCACCATCAAACACCGAGGGATCGGTATAGCAAGATCTAGCGCCACGTGCGATGATACGTTTAGCTTTGTCGTCATGGAATTTCATGTATTGGTTATCCAATTCTTTGAAACATTAGCTAGTCAATCTATCGCTTGAGTTATGATTCATGTACCTATCCATTCATTCCAATCCATGTTGCGTAAACCCATGGTAATGTGATATGGTCCATGGCGAAATGGACGGTATGGATTTGGCTTCGTTTGGTGCACATTCCAATTAGGAAAAGGAACTGCGGTTGGACGTTTGAACTGCATAGGCTCCCACACTATCAAGTAATCAGCCGGTATTCATCAACCACGGCATCATACTAACCTCCCAAAGGTCTCTGTGCTTTGCCGTTCTTCAAAATCGGCTTCTCCAGATCAGGTGTTCTCGGTCTGGCATATCTTGGTTTCTTGAACATCGTTGTAGCTCGTATTAATAGCCATACTGCAAGGCAGACTAAGCCCGCACCATAAAACAACACCTTAGGCTTGTCGTTCACAACTTGAGCGACTTCTGAGGTGCTGAGTCGCTCGCAAGCAGATTTGGTCCATAGTTTGAAGCCATCCCAGTTCGTCTCACCCATTTTCACGATAATTCAGTCTTGGAATTGAAAGCGAAGGGAATCTAGATGTGAGTTCTTGAACTGGCTCACAATGAATCATATTGATATCTCAAGAGAATCATATATTTATGTATGTATCATGAATTGGGAATGAATGATAAGATCTGTTGCGCGGCAGAACCCCGCCAAATTCGTTCTTATCGCCAGGGACTTTTTTTCCGTTTCGGGTATGGGTTATCACTGTGGAATATCACGACGGCGTATGAATACCTCATCAGGCGTAGAAACTATTCTTGATCTTGAATCACTTGATGATTAATTGAAATGATACGACTTTGATCATGAACTGGGGGGGGGGACTTTAGGTACAATCTTCATGATACCCGCAGTAGAGAACCACTTGGTCGCAATGGAGGTAACCTGTGAAAATTGTTTGGTAGTTACCATTTAGCCAATGAATTTGGGAATGAAAGTGACAAAGCACCCAAGTTGTAACTGCGAGCGTCGTCAATTGCAGTATCACCACTTTGAACTTTATTCAACATTGAGGAAGACCAAAAGTTCATTTGTCATAATTTTATTCTTGGCTACAATGATCATACATAGACCCATCATGAATTATCTACCACTTCCGTTCCCATTTTGCTGACCCGGATGAGTCCATTGATTCGCTCCATTTTGGTTTGCCGCATTCTGCTGAGCGAAGAATGCCGGATTTATGAATGCACCTGCTGGTAAGGGAGGAGGAGGAGGCATACCCACCCAAGGATTCTGGGCTTGAGCAAAAGGTTGTTGGGGTTGTTGAGGCTGTTGGTATGGTTGCTGATATGGTTGCTGATAACCTTGCGGGTACATTGGCCATGCTGGGAGTTGTTGAGATGGGTATTGTGGTGATGGTTGGGGTTGATATTGCTGTGGCTGATTTGAATTGCTGTAAATATTCGAAGGTGGCGGAGGTGGAAAGTTAGGCTTTGGGGGTAATGAAGCCGATTGAGAGTTGAATGCTCCCGGACTTGGAGTAGAAGGGGGTAATGAATTATTACGAGAGTTGCTGTTTCGATCATTGTTTCCGCCACCTCTTCCTCGTCCTCTTCCCCAATCTCCTCTGCCTCTGTCTCCACGACCTCTTCCTCTGCCCCTACCTCCATGGTCGCCACGTTGGCTTGATCTGTTATAATGCGAACCCTCTTGAGGAGCTTCACTGCCACTTGCACCACCGGTAAATCCAACCGGTCTAGTAAGAGTCTTATAAGGACCATCCTCGGCTTCGTCATAATTTAACACGGCGCTGTTGTTACCAGGGGTATATGTCATTTGCGAAGCATGCCCACCACGTGAATTACTGCCATTCTGCTGAGTCTTGACACCTCTCTTCTCTGCCCTCCTTTGCTTTATCATTCGCTTATGCTCAGCCTCCTTTTCATCATCAGAGAATTCCATTTCCTCGTCGCCAACTTCTTCGTCATACAAGTTTGAAGCATCTGTACCTTTGTATGCTTTTAAAGCTTGTGTAAAGACGTACGTTGCATGCTGTTCAGAGTAATACACCGTAGTTCCAACAGATAGTCCTGCTTCGGCAATTGCAGCTGCATTCGTGAATCTTACACAATACAATGGTTGTTCCACCCTGCCCAATGTTTCCGAAACTACGCCTATAACGCTGCGATCCTGTAAGCATAGCACAGATTCTTCTCTCAGTACTTGGTATTCTCCACTTGTGAAAGCTTTGATGAGAATGATGTTATCCACCACTCCTTCCACGCCTCCCAGTTTTGTGATAGGCATCTCAGGCGTTATTGTGACATCTGGTTTGGGTATCACCTCTTCCGGAACTTCGTTCTTCGTACGTAGGTGGCCTCCGGTGCGCTTTTCTCCATGTGCCGTTCCCTCATCATCCGAACCCCCATCGCCTTCTGACATCAGGATTCTTGCTTGTTCCTCTGGACTTAATAATTTATAGGCATTTTCTCCATCCTCCTCCTCGCTATCGTCCTCGGATGAACTATCACTTGACGAATCTGACGAAGACTCATATGGAGATGAGTCAACCTCCCATTCTGGGTGTTCCTCTTCTGTCGCTGGTGCTGCAGATGCATTGTTCGTTGCAACATCCGCAGTCACAGTCGCAGGTTGTAGCAGGCCTCCTAGCATCGCCTCTAAAGCATGAGTCAAATCCGGTTGATTGATAATGCTCTCCGGTACTTGACTATTACTAGTACTAGATTGAGCTTGTATTGATTCTTCCAACGGCATCTCTTTCCCTTGTTCAACATGAATGTCTGTAGTGCGTTGTGACGTCGCAATGTCCATTGCGTCGTTATTGGTGTCCTGCGTGTTCACTGTTGCATCTTCCACAGGAGCTTGTTTAATCTCCAAATCGCTTTGATATTTTGTTTGCTCGATGTCAACTCCTGTATCCTGTAAAACTTCACTTTTGATTTCTGGAATGGTTTCCGAAGGCGCGTCATTGGTTGTAGAAGTCGCAGATTCTTGAAGTAGAGGTTCGGCATCCGCCATTTTAGAATCTTCCTGTGGTTGATCATGACTGCTTTCCGGCAACTTATCTTGGGATGTGGCCGATTCTTCTAAGTGGTTCTCTGCGACGTCGTTCTCTGCCGTTGGAGTTGGATTCTCAGTTTTTGGCGCATTTCCAAGTCGTCCCAGTCCAGGAATATTGAAGAAAGTGGATGAAGACGAGGCAGATTCTTCACTCTCCCCTTTTACGTGTAGCTTCTCCTCTTGCGGAGGAACTGGCGAAATGGAGTCAGCATTACTCATGCTTCCAGTTGAAATCAAAAACAATCTGTGAAAGACTTGGTGACGGCGTATTACGCTCGAGTGTTTTTCGTGGTAGACTTTATCAATTGAGTCGAATTCGGATATGTGATACCAGTGCCAATATAATATCAAGAGTACAAGATGAATATGGGTATTCAAAAGAAAACTTAACAAAAATTGGATGCAATGCAATACTTTAATGGTTTAGTACGAATTGTTGACCAGAAAGTTTTTGAACTTCAAAATTTCCAAATATTTCCCGAAAGCTAATCTAATCTTAGCGCAGACGATAAGCTTTTATGAATTCTTATCGGTAGTTATACACAATTCAAGCTCTCCATTTTATGTAAGCTTTATGTAAGTATCTACGCAAGCTCGAGCTAAAGTGCACTTATTAGAACACGATGTGATCGTTAAAGTCTGCATTGCATTGTATTTGAGTTGATTTTGGAAAATCGATCAAAAAAGCAAGTCAATTGCAAAAATGGCCCCTTCGCAGCCAATAAATCTGGGCTCATCTAAAGGAGTAGAAGCTTCTACAGCTTCGCATTCAAAAAAGAAAAAGTCAGTATTTCGGAAAAGTTATGTATGGGATATTCTAACCAAGCTTCAATAGACCTCCAACTCCATTCGCAGTTCAACCTATCAGCGCATTTTATGTCTTTCTAGGAGCAAACATATTGGCAGCTTTGTATGCTCCTATACAGGATTGTGACGAGACCTTTAATTACTGGGAACCTACACATTATCTCAGTCATAGCTATGGATTACAAACGTGGGAATATTCTCCGGAATTTGCGATTCGAAGTTGGCTATATGTTACTGTTCATGCCCTGATGGGAAATTTCAGAAGGCTGCTCCCATTCCCCACGAAGGTATACAGAAATGAATTATTCAGGACAGTCAACGTTCTAACTGAGGTATAGGTTGGCGAGTTCTATTTCATTCGATATTGTCTCGCATTCACATGCGCTCTGTGCCAGACGCAGATGTTTCGAGTCATTAACGGAACCTTGAATCCGCGAGTCGCCATGTTCTTCATGATGGCCAATATCTTCAGCCCTGGTTTCTTTCATGCCTCGGCCTCCTTTTTACCATCGAGCTTCGCTATGTATACTACTATGCTTGGAATGGCCGCTTTCATGAACTGGAGAGGGGGCTTAAAAACTGCGCAAGGTATCTTTTGGTTCGCTGTCGGTGGAATTCTCGGTTGGCCATTCTCTATGGCTCTGTCTGCCCCTTTCTTGGTTGAAGAGGTGGTTTTCGCTAGTTTGAGCGATAAAGATGCCGTCGTCGATACCGTAATGCGATTCGTCAGAGGGATTGTTGGAGGATTGATTGTTTTGGTAAGCTTTTCTCAAATTTGCCTTCCTACAATTGCTAATATTGTAACGAGTTCTTTGAATTCGTTGTTTCTGGCTTCTTCTATAGAAAATTAGTGATTGTCCCTCTGAACATTGTTCTTTATAATATATTCAGTGGCGAAGGAAGAGGTCCTGAGATTTATGGTACTGAGCCATGGCATTTTTACATTCGTAACTTGATTCTCAACTTCAATATCTGGTTTGTGCTTGCGATTTCAGCTCTCCCACTTTTCATACTTCAGAAAATATTTGGGTCACGAGAAGGCGGTACCACAACAGCTCTTCGTAGCGTTGTTTTTATGGCACCATTTTACATATGGCTTGCAATATTCAGCTTCCAGCCACATAAGGAAGAACGATTTATGTATCCAGCTTACCCATGCCTTGCACTAAATGCGGCCATGTCACTTCACATTCTTTTGGCGGCTTTCGGCCATTCGGATCCCAGGACTTTGGTCGGCAAGATTCCAGCTAAATTGAAGCTATTATTCGTGAGCTTCTTCATCATCGGATCTGTGGATATTGGCGCAGCAAGAATTTATGGAATCTATACAGCGTACTCGGCGCCATTGAAAATCTACAGTCCTCTCCAAAATGGTACCATTGGGGTACGAGGAGATTCTGTCTGCTTTTCCAAAGAGTGGTACAGATTTCCCAGCTCTTATCATTTGCCGAACGGCATGAAAGCAAAATTTGTAAAGAGCGAATTCGATGGTCTGCTTCCCGGTGAGTTTTCCGAAGCTAGTACGGGATTCGGAATTTGGTCGACATGGCTCATCCCGTCGGGTATGAATGATCAAAACATAGAAGACATGAGCAAATATGTAAGTGAATCTCATCGCAAATATTATCTCCTAGCATTGTGTACGTGAAGCTAATATTACAATCAGGTCGACCTCAAGACCTGTAACTTTCTGGTTGATACCTACTATCCTGGCTCTGTGGCCTCCGAGCTTGAGCCTCACTACATCATGGATTCCGAGAACTGGGAGTCCGTGAAATGTGAACCATTTCTCGATGCGTCGAGAACTCACATTCTGGCACGAGCCATATGGTTACCAGATTTACCATTTATTCCAGAGAAATTTCGCCGGCACTGGGGAAGTCACTGCTTATTAAAACGAGCATCAAAGAAGGCAGTTACCAGCTCTGTATAGATTTCTTGTATATCAAAAGTTTGTGTTTTGAATTCAATTTGGTGTCTATGTATTTACAATATCCTATCAAGGCATGTACAATCACAATAAGAGCCCAGATTTTATAGACATCTCCTTCCGAGTTCCTTGCTTGTGCGTCATCGGTTTCTTAATCAACAGTTGCTCCATTGAAGTAATGAATAGTCTCGTCTACACATCCCGTTGGCGTCAAATACGCATAGTTCCCCAAATTGATCCACAACTCCTGAGCGCCACAAACCAACCACGCACTCAAATTCGGCCTACTAATGCTAGCTATACTCCATGTTACCGCATCCCCGCTAAACGCAAATGTACCAAACGTATTTTGGATGGTATTGAATGTCATGGCCAACCTAACAACAGATGAATTTGCGGGTTGTTCGACATTTGCATAGAGGAATGTGTTGGGTGCGATTAACTCAACTAGCTGGCCAGATACGATTTGGTACTGGCCGGCGGTGGATCTGTCGGCTAGGAGAGCAGTGCCGGGCTTGGCAGTTGGGGAGGCTTGGAGGTAGGAACTACAAGGAGGTGATAAATTAGACTTTGTCCACCAGATGATATTGTCTGATATTTCCATCCGTCTTCGGAATCTAGATGATCCCTGGGATCAATGCTTTCAAGCCTACTTCTACGTTATAAGAGCGAGAATACTGACTGAAATTTCGGGGATTCAACGGCACGAATCCAATAGTAGCCACTTTGGAGAGTCGCTCCCGGGTATGAGGCTACGCCGGTGGCAGTAGTCGTGGAAATTGTAGTAGTTATGGAACGTGTGGTAGTTGGTGTGCCGGAAGTGATTGTAGTCGGCGTTGTCGCAATCGTTGTTGACGATGATGCGGTGCCGGGAAGGCATTGGGAATAGTCTTTCAATAAGTGATCAGTAGGCGTTATTTAGGCGGAAAGGTAATGAATTACATGGACTGATTGCATAGTTAGTGAGTGTCAGGAAGCGAGATGGTTCATTCGAAAACTCTATGACGGGTATGAAAAGTGAGGAGTGGTTCTGATCTTACTTGGAATAAGTACACACATAACCCGATGCACAAGTTGTTGCGCCGGCCCAGTCCGTCCCTCCACCTACATCGGGTACTCATTAGCGATTCTAGGAGATCTCTCATCCTTCCACAAATTTCACTTACACTGGCCCCATGCAGCTTGCTGTGCATACACATTTTGAATTCCTACAATGATGAGCAGAGTTGCTTGTAAATGACTATTTAAACACATATTGGTAAAAAAGCAAATATTCTTTCTTGATTCCTATAGAATGAATTCAGAAAAAGCGATGGAAGAAAGAATTCTTATATTCAGCGGTTCTATAGCAATATCTCACTCGGACCGACAAACCCGTAGAGGCAGAATGTATATAAATTGAATTCTCGATCTCATGACCTGTGACCTCTAGGGAGCTATAAAATTGAAACGGATATTGACAAGGTAAAAGAACAAAAAATCATTCCAACGAAGTCGTAAATCCTGAAGTATGACTTCATTTTTTATACGTGGTGAGACCAGCATTACAGGTTGTTCGCTTGCGTATTATATTATTATAGCAGCATTTCAAATTATATTCACATCCCATATTCATCAGGCACCATCGCCAATGTTGAATGAAGTAGGTGCGACTATGAGTCTATATAATTTCGAAATTACAGCTCTGGTTATCGCTCAATCATCTTCATTACAGCTAAGAATATTCTCAAACCCCCACTTTCCACGAATTTTAGTCTCGACAGTATAAATTCAATATGATTAGTTTTCCAAAGTACTATGTAGTTATAGGTGCCAGTCCAGGTGTCGGGTTCGAAATCACACGGCAGTTACTCTTGGCACATCCCCAGAATATCGTCTTCGCAACTTACAGATCTTTTGAAACGCCACAGGCCTTGTACGATCTCGCCAAGGCACTCAAAGATCCGTCTAAATTACGGATATTGAAGTGTGATTTTACCAATGAGCAGACTGTCAAGGATCTGTGTAATATACCTCAGTTGATGGGTCAGACTATCGAAGCAGTGATTATTAATGATGGAGGCATGGATTGGGGTACAGTGATTGAAGGGTGAGTCGTCGTCGTGATGAATAGTGTGATTTTGTAGGAACTTCTTGGTGCCATACTTGCTACGAAGGGGGATCGAGAAGGCTTTCACCGGATTCACTTCACGAAATGGTTTTGATACCTCCTGTTCACACAACGAGTTCAGGCTTGGCAAATATACTTTGACACAGAGCTTAATAGCATTTCTATCACTTCTGCATTGCGCTGACGAGCGTATAATACTGACGATCAATCCTTTCTTTTCAATAGAACCTCTCAGTCTTACTATCACCACTTCCAAAACAATACCTTTGGACCACTTCTTGCCGCCAAATACCTTCTTCTTATACCTAGCGTTCAAATCTCCAACATTGCATTCATTTCCAACAGTTGTGGGTCCTCTAGCATTCGATCATGCATATGGGGCCTAGCCGCATATTCCACTTCTAAAGCTGCGCTGAATATGGGTTTACGTGTATGTTACTTTCCACCTAATGAGCAATTTCTTGTCGTTATACTTTACAATTCACGGTCAGGTAAAATCTTCTCACACATCCTTTCATGTAGCATCTAGCCGTGGAATTACATAGAGAACTGGGTTCCGAAGCTCCAGTTATATTGGCTCTCCACACAGCAGAAATAGGCGCTGATTTGGGACCTAATCCTGCGGAATTGACGGATGCGCAAATAAGTGTTAGAGGATGTTTGAAAATCATAAGGGAAAAGGGGAAATATGGGATTGATGAGGGTGGGAAATCGTCTGCTTGGGCGATGGGAGTGATAGAAGATCCAGAAACAGCGACGCTGTGGGCTTGGAATGGGTTGAGACATCCTTGGTGAGAGCTGCTGTGTATTGTTTGGGGGCTTGGAGAGACGTGCTATATTGGATGGGCTGTATTTGATATTAGGCGGTGGGCGTGGATTGTATTATACTAGAGTTGACCATGAAATAACTTACATAGGATGTACGAGTTGGAGCAAAGCAATGAGCTTGGACTGTGTAAAAATTATAGAACAACGAATATTATACACATGGATGAAGCCATGGTTCCAATCTGAAGGTGATAAGTTAAACATAATATATCATGGGATTTTTTTGACACTGCACTGCACTCTCAAAGTGCGTTATGACTGATACACGAATTACATTACACTCCAACTTCCATTAACCACCCATGACTCCAGATCTTAGGCCTTTTCCCCCAGTTTCCCATCCAACTCAACAACAAACCCATTCAAAATCTTCTCAATCCACCCACTCAACACCACTCTATCCTCAACCACCCCCCTCTCCCTCTCATTCGCCAAATCAAACTCGTACCCCCCCGCCAGATTATTCGACACCATATGCAAAAACCCAAACCTCACTCCCCTCTCCCTCGCCGCCAAAGCCATATGACCAATCTCCGGGTCCACCCAACAAAACTCCCTGTTTGCCTTTTTAAACCACGCATGATCTTCATCCAACACCGACGCCGACGTATAATGTGTTCCTCTCGCTACATTCCCCAGAATCTTCTCACTCATCGGATTTTCCCACTCGACAAATTCCCCATTGACGAAACTCATCGAGCCCGTCGCTAACGTCCTATTAGGCGTGTATTCCTGTTTCAACACGCCCAGTTTCCCAACATAAACCACGTATTGCAGCGTACCCCCACAGATTTTCTCCAAACATCTCACGAGATCCCCCGCTAAATCTCCCCAGAAACTCGTTCGACATTTCAAGATCGTAACTTTCAATCCATGTTTCTTCGTAACCGTTTGCCACGAAAATGATTCATCCTCATTCTCTTCATCTTTCCACGGTTCGGATGATCGCAATATATCTCTCGGGAGCGATCCTACTATCACCAAATTCGTTTTATCCCCCGCTAAACCCCTCAGATTCGAGTTCATGAATTCTTCATACCCTGCGTTTTCTAGGGGGAATTTAATTTTCACGATCCCAGGATCTTTCCCCTCGATTGCTAAGTGCGTCGCTACGATATTAGCATAATGTTTTACATAATCTCGTCCTGGGAAACAATTGATGCGCAGTTTTCCCTCTCCCAGGATCGTGGCGGTGGGTCGTTGATAGTTGAATGATTTGTCGGTTTTTTCGCCGTTGTAGATGATGGCTGGGGCAGAACGGATGTGGTGGCCTACGACTTCTATTTCAGTCCAGGGTTGGGAAGGCACGAGGTGGTGCACTTTTATGTCGAGGTAGCGTTGGAGAGAGGGGCCCATGGTGTGCTGTGCGAAGCTGGTTATTGTGGGGGTGGGATCTGGCGGTTGTGGAGAGGACATGGTGGGTGGTGTCTAGTAGGGTGTATATGGGATGGAAGCAAGGATGGTGACGAAGGTGAAGGGATGATTGAATAATGGATTTGGAAAACTTTGGTATTTATATAGCCCCCATGTTTATATAGCTGTCAGGCTTCACATTCCGTTCAGTGAATAATGATCTGCTGGATGCCGATAACTGTGGTGCGCTGGAAGAGTCTTCTGTTTGCGCAGACTCATTCATGCTTGTACAGTGACCCACAAAAGATAAGGGCCGTAGCTCAAAAACAAACCAAAAAAAAGCCATTTTTCAGTGTTTTTAAAGAACTATAATTCTTTATTAAAAGACTATTTACATTTCAAACTTTCAGATATAATAGAAATTCAATAAAGTATAAATAAAAAATGAATGAAATATTTTTAGAAATTTATTCCATCTTGATATTTTGATTTAAAATTCTCCAAAATCGAAAATACAATAAATTTACTGGTACAAATGTTACAAAATCGAACTTTTAAATTTAACCAAATTTAATTAATTATATTAAAACGAAATATTTTAGTAAAAAAATTCGCTTATTTTTCATTGAAATTTGTATAAATCTTTATATGATAACAAGATTTTATTATAATCAATTACAAGGCTTTCTAAATATGTAGGAATACAAAGGTTGAAAGATAGCCCTGTTTGATATGTTTTTCAGCTACGGCCCTTATTGTTTGTCTAGTACCGTACTCAATGCTGTACAAATACATGATGTTGAGCGATGTCAATGAGTCAGATGAATAAACGGATTGCTAAATACACAAACATGGTTCCTGAGATACAGCCTAGCTGTCGCTGGTAGACCGGGGAGAGTAGAACAATAGATCTAGCTGTAGTCCATCGTCGAATAAAGATTTATCCTGCAATTGACAGCAAAAAAACTCTTTTCGTGCAAGCATTGAATCGAAAAAAGGAAAAACATTATCTGATATCATGAATGGATCTGTATCACATTTGATGTATTAAGTCATGGATATAATCTAAATTAACGGCAACGCAACACCATAAAGAAGCAAAAAACAACTATACAACACTTTTCTTCCCCCTCTTCTTCCTCATTCGAACCTTTTCGGTTGCTTCTACAACCTTCTGTAACCTCCATTCACATCCCTCAGCAAAATCACAACTGTTGCATTTAAATGCCTCATCTAATTGAACACCCCTTGCTTCTCTTTCTCCCTTCCACCACCGCAGTTCTTCCTCCAAGTATGAAGTCAGTTCTTCATTATCCATGGGAATAGTCTTGATTCCAACTATCTCTCCATCATCCCGCGATCGATATTCTGTTTTTAGTATCCTTCCTAAAGACCCAGCACCATCGGGAAAAGTGATTTGAAATTCAGATATCATCTCGGACCACAGTGAATTAAGATTGTTGTGGGTGAGGAGAATACTCATAGAATCTTGACTAGAATCTGGCACTGAATCATCCTGCTCCTCATGTGCATCTTGATATATCCCGCCGTCATCTTCATTCATGCTACCGACCTGAGCAATGAATGTATCCGAAAAAGTCTTACTTGTGTCCAACCCATAACGAGCTGCCAAAACGCGGAAATCAACTGAGTTTGTGGCAAGGTTACCAAGTAAGTGGTGGTATAACATAAGTTGTACTCGAGTAGGACGGAACGCTGCGTCGTTTGGTAGCGTGCGAACACCTCTGGTCTTGACATCGCAAATATATATTTTGTTCGACTGCCTCCTTATTTTTATCCGTGTCGCCTCTGAAATGGACGAGCCTTCCATTCCTTTGAAGAAATTAGATATAGAAACTTGGTCCGCAGGTGGCGATTTCTTCTTCTTGCTCTTCTTCTGGCCCTTCTTCTCCGTCCTTCCCAGAAGCGATACCTCCATTTCAACATCCGGACATATGTAACTTAACTCATCAATGACTCCATTGACAACCAATCCATCAATAGTACCCCATATCTCCAATTCCCTCGTTTGTCCCGTTTCTCGTAATGTTCGTAATCCTTGTATCACATTCCATATTCGTAAACCCCATGCGTCTTCTTTCGTTTGAACTTCAATCTGAACAGACCTATGTACCTGATCTTCCAAAACTTTATGTACAGCACTACCCTGCTTCATAGCGGGTGTTTGCTTCCTCCTTCCAAGTTTCGTCAATGTGTACCAATATTGCAGCTCACACCATGCAGGAGACACCAGGTCCGTCACTGAGAGAGGTTTCTTCGGCGCGGTACGAAATAGTTCGAGGGGCGATCGTATGTCTTGAGGGGCAGGGATTGCAGACTCTGGGGGTTTTATTGAAACATCATTTACTTCAATTGCAGCAGCTGCAAATGGCACAGCTTCAGGTATTTGATCTTTCACTAAATCCTACCGCGTAAGTCAGAGATATGATTTGGGCGATATAAAAGGCCACTCACAGTCTGGATAGTACTCGCGTTTCGAGACTGAAGCATTGATTTGATCGGCAACCCTCTCCGCATCACGAATAGCCTGGAGCAGAGGTGAGATTTGTTCCTTCCCAACGACTCGAGGGAGGCGAAGAGCAGGTTCTGGCTCATGATACTCGATTTCGCTCACAATGGGATTGTCTTCGATGTCCGTTGGTTCCTTAGATTGGTGGACTGGCGATAATAATTTCTCTATTATCTCAACTACTTCGGGTGAGAAATCAGAACCATAATCACTTTCACTATCTGCGAAATTGGGAGGCAGTTCTGTCCCTTGTACGGCAGAACCATCCATGCTGATAAATTTGCTTAGTGTAATACATCAGTGTTTTCTGGCACGATCCACGACAAGCTCACGGTTGTTGCCACTCAGTTGACGCGATTGGAGCGTGATCACGTGCAGCCTCTTTGTAGGATAATTCGCAATCATTGTCTTACGATTGGCTACACTACACTCAAACTCAAGAATGTCAATTTCTGGAAGACTGTATGAACTTGACAATTCTTGAATATTGTTACAGTCTTATGAGAGTTTTAACTACACAGCTAGAAGATTGCCATTATTTAAAATCTACATCGATGCTTGAATCATAGCAACTGTGTCGCCTTTCTTGTGAAGCCTACTCGGTATTACCAGCCTTTTAAGTTCTGAATCAGCATTTCCCTCTTCCCATACCACAGAAACACAGCCTTCCGCCCAGGAAAGTCTTGTATATTCGTCACTTCAATATATTCCTGTCATTAGTCATGACTCTGGAACGAATCACATCTTTCCAGGACGAATTATATATCAATGCCTTTGATCCTTCTTGCAGTGATCATATCATTTGTTGTAGCGATTACAGGATCTATCTATCTTGCCTGCTTACCACATCATGGAGAAGCACCATACTCTTCCGTCTTCTCAGACGGAATATGGTACTCCCAAGCTCAATATTCTAGATTTACCACAGGAAATTCAATTATTGATAACTTCTCATCTGATATATCCAGATGCACTCTCCCTAAAACACACAAATCGATACTTCTACTCTTTTGTATATACTGGGTTGCATTTGAAGATAGAGTGGCTAATTCAGAGACGGCGGCTACATTTGGATTGTCCGAGTGACAGTAAATGTGAATTGGGCAGTGACGTTAGATATTGTCGAGGGAGTGTTGCGTGAATCTCACCACAGCTTTTGTGATCTACAGATGTGAAGACTAACAATATCCACAGCTTGTTGATGAAGCGGAGAAGAGAACATCAGGAATGTGATAGTAAGCCAGGAGGAAGGGGATGCCTGGTACTAGGGAGAAATATTTGTGTCAACAAGAAAGAAAGCAATTGTATCAAGGTAGTCTGGAGATACCTTAAATCGGGAATTACTCTGTGGTTAGTAGTGGTAACAGTTGCTTTGCTGGCCATTGTCATAGCTCCGACGAAAATATCGCCTATCACGGGAAATCATTGATATAAAAAGGGAGGTTGTCGTTAAGATGGGTACTGGGGACCTTCGGAACAAATCTATCTTATAATAATGTTTAATAGGAAGACGGGTGAAATTAATAATGAGGAGATGATTTGTATTTTCTTCTATGTATCATCTACTGAGCCATTAAATAGCGCACCACTTTCATTTTCGTGAACCCTTCTAAATGCCTCGTAACTTATGCCGACAGACATCAGATTGAAAGATCGCTTGAAGTCCCAATGAGCTCCTGTTCATAAAAGCACTTTGTCATTCGGAACGATGATTGTCTGCGCATTCATTAAGACTCTTTATATCCTATGACCCCCATTAATCTAAACATTCTCGTACCTGTCAAACAAACTCGTAGAGGTTAAGTTCTGAGATTGGATATGCAGATGAATATACAATATTTCACGCCGTCTAGAACATCCCCCAAACACTCCTCAACTCCCCGCCCACCCTATCGCTTCCGCCACCATGTTTCGGATCATCGCCAAGAAGTTGCACGAGCGGTAGTGTAGCTAACAAGAGCATCAGGGGTACAGCCTTACGGCCCAGCACATCATCAAAGTAGTATCAAGCCGTCTCATCTTCCTATTTCTCTATCTCATCTCCTAAATTGTGCAGATGTGATAACTTTCGGATAACAATTGCGATCCTGCCATACAAATTTCGTCGCTCATCGTTGGAGTTCTCCTATCAGAAGGCAACATTCATTCACAGTAACATGGAATAGACAGCGTGTACATGATTCACTGGAAATGGGTGTAATGTTTGTTATCCATTTGTGTTACGGCAACGGGATTATCTTGGCAAATCAAATATCAGATTTTGAAAATTCGTTTTCGTAGGAAATTGTTGGAATTTCTTACACCTCTCCTCTCCTCTCTTGATTAGCTTACTCTTTTTCTTCTCATTTCTATCTTCTTGACAGAGGCAAGTCGTCGCTACTTTCTTTCTTCACACTCACATTCGTTTATCTCACCTTTACATTGATCGGGTTAGATACCTGATCGTACGTTCCTTCAATAGAAATCACGCTCCTTAGAGAAACAATATTTACACATTCTTTTGGCTTTGAAAGCCACAAACTATCGCGTGAACTCGACGTGATTACTACCATTTTTGAATCCAGAATCTACTGCGACAAATAGCAGCCATGAAGTTATTCAAATCCACCAGAACAATTGGTCTCGCTTTCCTAGGATCGCTCTTCTCGCCCGCAAGCACCACATTCGTTATTCAATGCTACAGTCGTCTTGTCGATGAGCGTGTTGATCCAGTAGTTAGTCCTGGACATCTCCCTGCATCTCATGTGCATGCGATTGCTGGTGGTAGCGGTTTCAGCGCCAATATGACATATGCTGGTGCGCGTGCTGCCAAATGTGGGACTTGCAATGTGAAGGAGGATTTGTCGAATTACTGGACCCCGAAGCTTTACTACAAGGCTCAGAATGGTAGTTTCATTTCTGTACCTATCAATGGAGATGACGGGTATGGAAATCTTGGGGGAATGGCAATTTATTATCTGTGAGTTTTGGACACGCTGAAATATTGATGAGCCGTCATGTTTTACCTTTACTAACGTTTCCCAAGTCAACGGCCAGGTCCAGATAACGATCCACTTGTTCCATTCCCTAAGAATTTCCGTATGCTAGCTGGAGACACAAATCGACGAAGCTACAATGACTCTTCTTTCGCAGACCGTGCTGTTAGTTTTCGATGCACAGGAACTGATCTTCAATCTAATGGATTCCCAAACGTCAACTGCCCAGATGGTCTTCGACTTCAGGTCACAATGCCCAGTTGTTGGGATGGGGTCAATGTAACTTCAGCCGATTATAAATCTCATATGTCGTATCCTGCGGATGGTGATTTTGACGGTGGTCGCTGCCCAGCTTCGCATCCTCATCATATGATGACTCTATTCTTCGAAGTTACATATCGTACTGATCTTTTCGCCAATGAGTGGTACGGCAATTCTCAACCTTTTATCCTTGCTAATGGTGATACCACTGGCTACGGATTCCATGGTGACTTTGTAAGCATTTCACCGATTGCGTTCTCATAATCTTTCATGAAGCTAACATAGACCAAGGTAAACGGTTGGGATATTCCAACACTCACGAAAGGAATCAATAACTGCCTTGACGGCCAACCCGACTGTCCAAGCGAGACCTTTACCTTTTACGAACAATCCGACACCCAAGAATGCAAACTTGCTCCTCTGATTAATGAACCTGTAAGCGGTACGCTCTCCACACTTCCCGGTTGCAATGCACCTTCTTCAGGCCCAGCGGAGTACACACCACCACCTTGTCCCCAAGACGTAGCTTTGACAAAGTCTCTTCAGGCTCCCCCTTCCCGCTTTAACCCCATGGCCTCCAAAGCCCCCTTGCTCCCCATCGGCATCGTCGATTTGAGTATCTCCAAAGGCTGGACTTATCTCGGATGTGGAACAGATGACGCTGCAAACAGGACCTTGAATGCCGATTGGGTGGGAAACAGTACCATGACTATCGAGACTTGTGTACATTTCTGTACATCCAAGGGTCATACATATGCAGGAATGGAATTCGGAAGTCAATGTTACTGCGGCAATTCTCTTTCTGCAGACCGGGCACCTGTTGCTGGTATGCTAGGTGATTGTATCATGCCATGCGCAGGATACAGTGCCGAGAGATGTGGTGGTAATGCTGCAATTACACTATATCAAAAGTGTGGTGCAAATGGATGCGCTGCCTCTAGTGCAGCAAGAACTGTTTCTGCTCGATCGCAAAGTAAGAAGAGAAGTAGGGTTATGAGGAGTCTTGGGGTTTAGACAAGATGCGGAATCATATCGATGTTGACGTCGAATATGCTTTCAGTTTGATATAACGTGATTTATCAGTGTGCGGGTCATATCAGTGTGCGGGTCATTTTCACCTCAATTCACTCTATTCTCTTTCAATACGCGTTTTTATCAACAATCCACAATGGATTCGAATAATCAAGAAGCCCGTATACTCCTCGCTATCGAAGCTATTCAAAAAGACAAAAAAACAAGTATTCGAAAGGTTGCAAAGATATATAATATCTCGAATACAACACTACAACGTAGAATTAATGGTATTACTTCCCGTTCCGAATATCGACCTAAATCTTATAATCTTTCAGAACTAGAAGAGAATATCATTTCTGAATATATAATTGATATGGATTTGAGAGGATTTCCACCTAAATTAAGAAATGTAGAAGATATGGCGAATCATATTCTTGAATCGAGGGGTGCAAAGCGCGTTGGGAAGCTCTGGGCGCATCGATTCGTAAAGCGTCGAATCGAATTAAAGACGCGTTTTAGTCGTGTTTATGACTTTCAAAGAGCTCTCTGCGAAGATCCTAAGCTTATTGAAGAGTGGTTTCGATTGGTTGCGAATATGCGAGCGAAATACAGCATTTTGGATGGCGATTTCTACAATTTCGATGAGACGGGCTTTATGATGGGTATAATATGCCCCGGAATGGTAGTAACTAGTGCTGAACGGAATGGCAGAAGCAAGGCAATACAACCAGGCAATAGAGAATGGGCTACAGCAATCATATGTGGCAATGGGGAGGGTGAAACTATACCCCCATTTCTAGTGGTTCAAGGACAGGTTCATCTTTCCAATTGGTATACCGAAACCGATTTTCCTGCGGATTAGGCTATTAAACCTATATCTAATGGATGGACAAACAATGAGACAGGTTTAGAATGGTTGAAACACTTCGACAAGCACACTAAGAACCGAAGAAAGGGCAGGTATCGAATGTTGGTACTAGACGGGCATGAAAGCCATGAATCAAGAGCTTTTCAAGCATATTGCAAAGAGAACGATATTATATGCTTAAGTCTACCACCGCATTCGAGTCATTTAACTCAACCACTTGATGTGGGCTGTTTTAGCAATCTGAAACGTTCATATGGTGGTCAAATTGATGGATTTATCAAGGCACATATGAATCATATTTCGAAGGTTGAATTCTTTATAGCTTTTAAAGCTGCATATAAAGAATCAATCATCTCTCAGAATATGAAATCAGGATTTCGAGGAACAGGTTTAATACCATTTAACCCTGAAGCCGTACTTTCGAAGTTAGATATTCGAATTCGTACACCTACCCCTCCCTCTTTCGATCTAGATCAATGGATCTCTCAAACCCCTCACAACCCAACTGAAGCTCTTTCTCAATCAATTTTAGTGAAATCTCGAATAACCCGACATCAATCAAGCTCCCCTACACCTATATTTGAGACTGTACTAGCTCTAGCTAAAGGTACAGAGAGATTAGCTCATGAGAATACACTTTTGAATGCAGAGATTCGTACACTTCGAAAGGCAAATGAGGCATTAAGCAAGCGTCGACGCGCGAAAAAAACCCAATTACGTCAAGGAGGAGTACTTACTGGGCAAGAAGCTCTTGATATATTATCTCAACAAGAGGTTGATATTCAGATTCAACGCGACGAGCGTCAAAAAGGGAGGAATTCTAATGAAGAAGCATCTTCTAGTCGATGCTGTAGTAAATGCGGAAAGACCGGACATAATGCAAGAACTTGTCAAGATAATATAATAGATCCTAGATTATTATAATTTTCATAGTTTTAATCAATTGATTCAATGGTTGTTGAATAATATGAGTTTGAAAGAGTGAATTGAGGTGAAAATGACCCGCACACTGATATGACCCGCACACTGATAAATCACGTTAGATGTGATGCATGGAGGAAACATGACCGTCTTACACTTCTCGTAAATAGATTACACCTTCTCAAAGCCTGCACTTGCGATGACTTTTCAAATGGCAAATACATACGAATTATGAGAAAAATGACATAAACATTCATGTCCCTTACCCGCCCCGAATGCAAGTTCTTAATCTTGTATGAATACGGCCATCTCGGCCAGATACATAAGTCAAATAGCATAGTCAGCATAGCTTAGCTATAGATAGACTGAATCGATCAAGACTTTACTACTACCACTAAGTCAAATAATACATTATCATCAACCCTTGGCAGCTGTTCCTCTTAAGGGAAAAGTCACGAAATTAGATTTCTCTGAACA